GGACACACTAAATTATATTCGCCATGACGAGTTTGTCTACCATTAATTTCATTGTTTGTTTTAAATAAGTTCTTAATATACTGCGGAGCTTGGTCATGCAGGCTCTTGTAAACTAAAGTGCATTTGTTAATTTTAACTTCGTCATAAAATTAGTGAAATCTTTTAATTTTTAAATTCTTTTAATATTTGTAAAATCAAACCAACATGGATAATAGTGTACCTTTTCGCAGGCGACTGTTTTACCGTTTCGCGCCCTGTTACTGGCTGTTAGTTTATGTAAATTCCATTGTCCAAAGCATCGAGTACCCGTGTCAGAGCACAGGGGGCCCCACTATGAGTTATGATTGAAATAATATTGTATTTATTTTTAAAAACCTACTTGAATCCCTTGATAATCGATTATTTCTTCTCTCGAAGTTCTGTAAACATTTCGAACTGCTTGGAGTCATTATACTATCACTCTACATGACGTTTCACGAAGTATAGACGATCGCTGACAAGTAAGAACGCGGGCCCCTTCTTTCGCCGCCTTCGTCTTTTCGCGCCCGCGTTTTTACTTGTCAGCGATCATCTATACTTCGTGAAACGTCATGTAGATTGTAGAGTGATAGTATAATGACTCCAAGCAGTTTAAAATGTTTACAGAACTTCGAGAGAAGAAATAATCGATTATCAAGGGATTCAAGTAGGTTTTTAAAAATAAATACAATATCATTTCAATCATAACTCACAGTGGAGCCCCCTGTGGTCAGAGTCGAGAAGAGGATTTGACTACTGTACTCTCCAGAGATCAGTCATCGCATAGCCTTAACTTTTGTGAGACAGACATGGGAAACCTCGACAAGGATCGGTTAGCGCTATCTACCGGATAGTGATAAAAGTAATAAAACGGCGAATATGGATCCCACAGTTAATGAAAGGAAATTTTAATTTTGGTTATACCAGTGAACGGCCAATTCAAAAGAAAGCTTGAAAAATCACTGTCCGGTGATAGCGCTATCCGGCTTTCGTACAACCGACCCCTGGTGTATTTAAAGTGGAGGCTATGCGTAATGCATTTATACTGTGGTGTAACAGTAGTTTTTAGTCAGTATATTTAACTTAGCTGCGGATATACTGTACAGCCGCCTGATTGTCTATTTAACTACTGTATAAGCGATTTAACCCCTTATAGCAACTGGATTCATATGTACAATAATCAGTTATCTTTGTATTTTTTGTAGTATAAAGCAACAGATTACGTAGTACGAGGAGCAGGGAAGTTCACGATCTCGTTCGAGCCAGTAAATGGTGACAAGAAGACGACAGTTGTGTATGACTTCACTGGAGAAGGTGGTGTTATGATGGGCATGTATAATACTGACGAGGTACAATCTTACATTTCACCAAAACTTTTAAGATTTTCCTAATTTGGACACCCCCGCTATCATTATTCATATCAGATTACTTCATGGTTGATGAGCGCGCGTACGATTTAAAATTTTTGTTATTTATTCGTTGTGTACTATTTAAAGCACGCACAGGAGTGCTTTGTCAGATATAAAACACGAGTGCGCAGCACGAGTGTTTTTATATCTGATAAAGCACCACTATACAAGTAGTTTAAATGACTTAAAAATGACCCATCTCATGAGTTCATTGGCGAAGTAATTTTTAAAATAAACATTGTCTTTTAATTAATTAATTTTAAATAATTTTTAAAATAACACGATTTTTTATCACATATAAACCACCGACATGGCAGTGACTGCCTTTGTCTTTTCCTCATGAATTATTAAATATCCTCATAAATAAGAATCGTACGTGCACTCACCAACCATGAAGTAATCTATACTAATACTATTGTAGTACTGTTTATGTTGTTGCACGGTTTGCCACCCAAAAATTGCGGTGGCTAATTTCATTACGCTATTCTCATGGGCGGACACTTCTTTCTTGTGCTGGGAAGGGGGATTTAGGTTGCGAACATATAGAGCCATCTTTTCTTCCTGGTAGTCTTAGTTTTTTAAACTTTTTTTGCTTTAAATTTCATGCAATATATACTGTAGCTGAATTTTATAACTTTCATGGTTGAAAAAAACTGATTGTTACAGTTCGTCTTTGCTGTACAATTATCCAACCATCATTTGAAGACTTTCTGAGAAACCTAGCGTTCGCCACTGACTATCCTGTTTGCCGATTAACAGGCGATCCGAGATTTTGCTCACAGCTGTTTCCAGTACGCCCTGCTCAAGAAATGGCCTCTGTACATGAGTACCAAGAACACTATCTTGAAGCGATATGATGGAAGATTTAAAGATTTATTTGAAGAAATTTATGAAGAGTAAGTCAACTTTGTGTTCTGCAAAGTAACTATATAGGCATTAAAATACTAGCGGTATTGAATCCAATAAGCAATATATTTCCCCCCGAAATTTCCGATATACCGAAATTTTCCATTTTTTTATATCGAAATTCTAAGTAAGTAAAAGTAAAAACTTTATTTGTCTACGCTAACCCCTACAGCAAGAGCTGATTTCCAAGAGGGGCGTAGGTTTAAAAATACAAACGTTACACTCAATTAGGATAAATATATATACAAGACTAACACATTACAATACAATTATACAATTATAATTACTCTACTATGGTCAAATAAATAAAATTTCATAAACTCATTATCTAAC